TACACTCAGTCACGAAATTTTCTGGGTGTGGGCGTGGATTAAGTGCTCCGACACCCACAACTACGCCCAATATCATATTCCATACACACATTCTACTATTTTGTCAGTATATTCTTTTAGCATAGGTCTGTGTAAAAATATTGACCCTTCGACCTGACTATTAATTAATATTTATTAGTTCATAAATTGGCGAATATCTCTTCCACTATATGAGAAAAAATCTGAAAACTTCATGATATACTTGACGATAAGGGCTGCATCGATGGTGAGATTTTTAGCAAGATCAGGCCATAAAATATTTTTTTCAAAATGTCAATTTGCCAGAGACTCGATCAATTGCTGAACCAAACGATTTAGCCCTACCATCGTCTAGAGACTGTAAAGAAAGGTTTATACCGTTAGGAATCAATGCCGAACTTTTCTATCGATTACAAGAGCACTTATTCGGTTATGCATTTGTGCTTCTCATCACGTTGATGACGAATTTCAAAACACTATCAGCAAAAATTATCAAAGACTATTTTCTGTTAAGTTGACTAAAACTCACAATTCATAATTTGTAACGCAATATGTGCTTGTTTCTTTCTTTCTACCTCTTTCCTATTTCATCATAAGTTTGGTTGTGTTTGTAGAGAAAAAGAAAGGTAAAAACAAGAAAATGAGCGTACCTGGAATCGAACCAGGGTTCCGAGTTCCGTAGACTCGAGCGCTTCCACTACACCATACGCCCGTGTTATTTTAAGACAATTCTCTACATTTAAAAAAAACACAACATACTGAAAAAGGTTTACTCTATTTTTTTGAATAGCGACCTGAATAATTACTTGAATGTTTTTAATGAATAAGAAACGTGTTAGCCACTTGAAAGAGAATCCACCTTAAATAACGAGTGTGGGTGTGAGTTTGCTTCTAGTTGATTTATTATCCCATTCATACCGGCATACGCTCATATGTGCATATTGCCATGTGATTAAATTTGGCTAAAAACTTATGTTTACACGCAACCCAGAAATTAGCTAAGTAAAAAATGCTTGTCGGGGCTCCCAATGCATTAGATCTAACACTGTACTCGAATAAGAAAAATCTGCGGCTAGCGTTTTTTTTATAGAACTGATCCTGGGCTACAGAATAATGAGTTCAGATAAAAATCCAACTAGGATTTTCCAGGAGTGGATATGGTGTGGGTGTGGATGTATTTTTCAGTTTATCTACACCCACATCCACTCATATATTTTGAGAATGAACTCTAGGTTTACTTCCCATGAATTTCTCATTTTTTTGAAATAAATTTTCATAATGTCCAAAATTTAATTACACAGGCATGATGCAATAATCATTACTCATTTGTTTTTTCCACTCGCTATTTAACATCAGGATGACTCAGGCAACAGTGCGTCATTTTGTCACCTTTTCTGTGTAAAAGAAAAGAGAAAAAAGTAAATCGAGAAGGAATCTTTGCTCATGCTCACCTATATAAAGACAAGCACAAACAAATCTATGTATTACATTTGACGATTGACTTTATCAGCGCAATATAGGTGTCGTTAGTGGTGTGAGTGAGTGTGGACGTTGGCGTTGATATAGGTGGATGTGAATCTGATAAGAGCAGACAGCCACCAAGACAAGCCACACTCAACCACAGTTTCTCATATACACAAGATACAATCATAGCACATACGACACCAATAGGTTTATAATGCACTTTGTTGATCGATTCTTTTCTTCGATTCAGATATGTACAATATATTCCACCCCACGAACTCTCGGCCCGTAGATAGCCCACGTGGGGTAGCATCGGTCAATGGTCCAGCAAACCTGACAGCTGCTCTTATGCGAGTAACCACAGGTAACTGGAGTCCTTATTTGCATTACTATTAGTACTTTCCTGATAAAGATATCTGCTATGTATTTCCAAATAGTAAAGACAATCAACATCAATGAGTAGTAGTGGGCATGAGCAATTAGAAGCCTGCGATTTTGTGCCCTAGAAACACAAGCATGGTCAAGTAAGCGTATAAAAAAGGAGATTTTGAGGTTCGATTCTTCAGGGGTATTTAGGAAAAAAATGAATCTTTAGGCTTTTAACGATTGTCTAAAATCTTTCCAGCATGTTGTTTCATCGAGTTAAAAATTCTCTAGAACGCTATCTAATCAGAAGCATTTTACAATTTTTTCGAGGATTGAGGAGTTCAAAAGCTAGATCCTCTAAAAACGAAGTTTTTATCATAAACGAATTATCTACAAATCGTTCACCGTTCACATTGAAAACAACGGAATTAGGTAAACGCCGTTCGTATGGAACAATGTCAATCACGACGAAAATCGTCTAAATGCGCATGAACGAAGTACTCACCGACACCGTACTGGAAACCGAAGTTTTGGTAATGAATCAAAACATAGAAGCAACTAATATGAAATCTGAACTGAACTCACTTGATATGAGCGAATTGCAATTCGAATCTATCGTTCATGAGAATAATGAGTAAAATAAGACTTCAAACAGTTGCATCGAAGTAGGAAAGAGTACTTTTCCAATTTTTTTGGGTTTGAAGACTTCATCAAAGAAAATGACTGTGTAATGATTTATTCTTTGCGTAGTCAAATCAATTTGAATGATCGTATGGGGCTTTGGCTTGCACCGTGCTTGTGAACATGGATTTGATGACATATCAATGAGAGATTATTTTCATGCGATCTTTCGCTGGGAAGCGTCAAAACTGATAGGCTTGGAAACATATTTGATTATTTGGAATGGTCAGAAGCTGCTGTAGTTTTTCAATATACTTGTCGTAATCGAAACCCATCGAACGGATCTCAAAGGAGCTTCTCCGATCGTATTGAACACAATCGATCGATGGCTGTCACGAATTTTCGTTGATTGTTCAGCCGGAATCTGATCATAAGAAATTTGCGAATTTCGATGACCTTCGTCATTGTTTTGCATCGAAATCGGTCGGTTGGTATAGTTCCATGGCATTTTTCGTACTGTATTAATAGCACACCTTATCATTAGAATGTGCGACCTGGGGAGAAAAACGTGTATTGTTTCTAATTAGATAACGTTATAAAGAATCTTTAACTTCATCGACTAGATATTTTCAAGATATTTTGAAGTGATCGTGAGAAATCTAAACGTTCAGATTTTTCCATAAAAATTCTAAGAAAACTGTAGATCTTTAGCTACTGATGTTTTCCATCTGTATAATCAACACTGACCACATAGCCTATTTAGAAATGAAAGTAGATATGATTATAATATTTTCTTCATGTTCAATGACGACTTCCAAATTTTGCTAGGTAGTTTCGACTGAATGTGTTGCAAAATAGTAAAGTATCGATAAGTTTGTTGAAAGCCTCCATATTCCCAAAAGCAACTATTCTGCATACATTTGCCTATCGCTCTTGTATTGACTGTAAGAAGAGCAACAATGTCGTCATGTGATGTGATGCAGATTGGGCTAAAACCTAGGAATCCATTTTAGCTGTGTAATGATCACTTGGTTTGAAACCGATTTTCCAGACTGTTTACATATTTTCAAGCTGTTAAGCTTGAAATTATTCATCTTTATTTTTGAAAAAGATAGTAAGCGCTTTCTCTCTTTTTCTACAGAATCCAGTGAACTTGGTACATTGCCATCCATGTGTCAGGTGACCTATCCTGATCCGACAAATCTTCTTCAATTTACACTGACTATCATGCCTGATGACGTGAGTACGATTGTTTTTCGTTATTCAACTAAACTGAAATTGATTCTCTCCTAGGGCTATTACAAAGGTGGTCGCTTTACATTTTCATTCACCATTGGACCAGAGTATCCGTATGTACCACCCAAAGTTAAATGTACACAAAAGATCTACCATCCAAACATCGATCTTGAAGGCAACGTTTGTTTGAATATTTTGAGGTGAGAAAGATTGAACCACCACTTTTGCTAGAGCATATTTCAATATATTTTCAGAGAAGACTGGAATCCGGTATTGTCCATTACATCGGTCATTTTTGGCATAGTTTTTCTCTTCTCAGTAAATATTTCAATCTTTATATGTCTTTTTTTCATCTTTTCTTCATTTCAAAGGACCCAAATCCATATGATCCTTTGAACAAAGAAGCAGCTGATGTACTCAAATCGAATGCAAGCACATTCAAAGATCATGTGCAAAAAACAATGACTGGTGGAACGTTAAATGGAATTCACTTCGATTGTGTGCTCATTCAATAATAATCAAACCATTTAAGATCAGTTGCAATGAAAAGAAAAACATTTTTATCATCCTCATATTTCAAGTCATTTTCTGTTTAATTATTTTTTACAAGTATTAAACTTTTGTCTAAACATGTTGAATTTTAAATCAACTCTTCCAGTTTTAACAGCGCATATCCACATCTTTTAAAAGTTTAGTCAAACAAAAGTACTCCTTCGAGATATCAAATGTTGACGACAATTGATTTTGTAATATTTTCTCGTGCTATATGTGCTTCATGTGGAATATTCAATAGTTCAAAAATAGCGAATAGTCTTGGGCTCATATTTTTGTGGCATTTTAAGAACCATGAGAGTTGTCTGTTCATGAGAAAAAAATTAGATGCAAATGCTGTCATTCGCGTTTTTCATCTATTTAAAAATATTTGATGCAAAGTCGTGTTGTCTCGAACACATATTTAACAATGAGCTTAGAATCTCAAACAAAACTTCAGAACAACATATAAGGAATATATTTGTGAATGAATTTCTATACTGCTAACGATGTTCACTAAGAATATTTACTAATCATGATTGAGTACAATCAAATTACACTGATAACTCCACTCTAATTGTTTAAAAGCTCGATAAAAACATGATTCTCTATATGGAATGCAATGTATATCAAGCTGCCTACAAAATGGCAAATTTAGTTTTTCGATCGAGATATGCCTATTAAATACGAGGGAGTCCTTACGTCTTCATAAGAATCTATTTATTAACTAGTATAAAGCGTATCAAAATTCATTGTTCTACAACTTATGAGACATGTTGTTTAACAAATTGAATCAGTTCTGTGTCATTTGGATTGTTGTTGTGGCAATAGTCAAGAATTGTAAGGCCCATTTCATTTTTTAAATTGACATTGGCACCTTTTTCTATGAGTAATTTAATCGTTTCAGTACGAAATGGATATCCAACAGCACAATGCAATGGAGGTTGTCCAAAATCAGCTAATGCATTAATATCTGCTCCATGCTCCAATAACAATAAAATAATGTCGTTGAGACCAAAGAATGATGCCCAATGAAGTGGTGTTTTTCTGACTGAATCTCGTGCCATTACATCACAACCATTTCTAATTAAATACTCAGCAACATTCGTTCTTTCCATGATAATTGCACAAAGCAATGGAGTGTGTTTATTTATGTTAAGAATTTCTTTTTCTGCGCCTTTTTCAAGTAAATATTTTACTATATCGAGATGACCTTTTGTTGCAGCGCAATGCAATGGTGTATTATATCTTGTCGATTCTGATGTTGTTTTAGCATTAATATTAGCATTAAATTGACTCAAAAGTTTGACTACAGATAAATGACCAGCTAATGATGCTTCATGCAATGGATTAACAAATTCGTGTGAAATTCCATTGATTTTAACTTTTGTTGTTGTTAATAAATTGTAAACGAGATCAACGTCACCATTTTCAGCTGCTTTACATAAGCGTTTTGTAAGATCAATATTTTCTGTTAGTAATTCAATAATTTCTCTGTGATTCTGTCGAATAGCCAAATCTATTGGAGTTTCTTCGTTCGATGAATAATTTTTAATAAATGGACATGCACCATAACTTAAGAGTAGATTGATACATTCAATGTTTTTTGTTTCTCCTACTGCATAATGTAATGCTGTATCGCCATCTTCATCTTGTTGATTAACATTGATACCAGCTTCAAGCAACAATTTTAACATCTCCATAAAATTATAGAATACGGCACAATGTATTGCACCTTGAGGTACTATTGGATTGTTTAAATCACCTCCACGCTTGATATATTGATTCACCCAATTAATGTCATTGTCTCTAACACTTTTAATATAGCTTTTCCAATCGTTTCTTTCGATATGTCCATGAGAAATTGGCAAGAGCATAGAAAAAGACATTGTTTCATCTAAAAATATATGATAAATTCATAATAATTTATTTTTTAATTTTATAATGACATCTTACTAGTGTTTGTTGTATGATCGCTACGTTGAACAATTGACTCAGAAGGTTCTTCTGGTAAGTTTCGACGAGTTTGATCCGAGCTCATCTACAATTGGGAATCAACTGACGTAAGCAATATAGCAGTCTTTCAATATGAAATATTTTTATAGGTCAAATTAATATGAATTTAAAAGCAATTAGAGATCTTGTTTGATCTATGTAAGATGTCGATGACAACCAATAAACGAATAACGGTATACATGAGTACGAGTCACAAAGAAACGAGCAAGATTGACTCGAACGAACTGCTTCGTCATCTATGCTTGCTGATTACATTTTTTTCACTTGTGAAAATATTGCCATGCGACTAAAAAGAACAGCGAAATTGCCATTATGACAGCTGCGCAATGAGTAATATCTCTAAATGACATCGAAAAAACACTAAAAGATTTTTTGTTCTCTGTCGTCTATTCAGGACGTATAGAAATGAAATTAATAAATATTTACCTTTTAGATTTATTGTAATTGTTGATTGTTAAATAGTTATACAACAGAAACTGTGTCTCGGCTGAATCATCATTGCATGGCAAGCGTAAGGCTTTAAAAGCATTTTTCTAATTTTGTCGTGCAGATTAAATTACTCCGATTTGGGAGATCATAGCAAATAGAACAGTAAATTTTATAATATTGCTTAGTAGATGCAAGTGCGAAAGTTAAAGAATGATATATATACACATTCAAAAAGATCGATAATTATTTCAAGAGAACTAGATGAACCATAAATTTTGTTCAGAAAAATAGATCGTCATCGATCTTGAACTCTAAATCTGTCGGAGATTCTTTATATCATACAATATGAAGAAACCTTAACATCCTCACACCCAACTTCAATCTTTCTAAGCATAAATTTCAACATATTAGAACAAGATTTTCATATTTTTTTAGGCAGCAGTGATTTATATTGGTATTTGTTTCTTGTAGCTATTTTCTACTTCTATACAGGTTTCATATCTAATATCTTTATGGCTACATCAGTCTAATATTTATCTATACTTGTTTATTTTTGCACAAATTTTAATTGCATTTTCTAACATTTTGCTAATTTTATTTTCTGTTAATTCCATGCGTTTGATACAAAATGATTAGGCCACCGATAATGATGGATTAGACAGCCAATATCTGATGATGAATTTGTCTTAGTCCAAAGGATTTATTACTTCAATCATCGCAAGGGTCATCTAGTTGAAACACACAGTAGATAAAATACATCAGTCGAACCACATCATTATTAGGAACAGTTCCTCAGGAACTGGTTGATTCCAAACTGTATTCATTACTGACGAGGTAAATCATCTATGTACTTCTGATGAACAGCTGATTTCTTTTTGACAATGAAGAATAGTAAAATAGAATTCAGCTTTAATATTTTTTCGATTAGTTGGAAAATGTTTAGGGATTCTTTTAGTGTCTAAGAACAGAAGAAACGACGAAGAGATAAGAAAAATAAAATAACCACTCTTGGTTCAATCGAAAATGACATTGTTTGGATTGATGTGTGCTCTCAACCAAAAATCTCAACGCAGTATGTAAATAACTTGAATCGTTCTTCAAAAGATAAAACTTTTTATTGACATATTTCAAGTATATCAGAGGCAATGAAAATATTCACAATGTGAAGAAAGAAGATTTCAAATGTTGAATGTGTTTCATTTGTGCAAACATTGCATGATATCATTTTTCGGTTTTATGACTATCTTCTTCACTCATATATGAATATATGTATATAATCCTTTTTGAATTTTGTCCATACTGATAAATGATAAAGTTTTGGAATGTAGATGTTGCATACAAAATCATAGTATTTCATGTTTTGAATGCAACAAACTCAGATATTAAAAGTACGTCAATATTTTATGTTCGTACAGGATTTGATTAGCTTTTCTTACTATACATTAGAAAAACTTTGATATAGTATTGCTTCCAAAACAAATCTAGAAAAACACTATAAATAATACCTTTCTTTATAATCATCTCAGTATCGAATATGTACTCATTATTGTGACTGTGAAAATCAAAACATCATTACACAATTAGTTTCACATGGTAAATGGTATTTCATCCACTCCAATAACCCGTCGACCTAGTTTTGGTATCAATTGTTCACATACAAACATGTCAGAGCAACACGCATGCAATTTTGAATATTTAAATACATAATGACCGATGAGTAAAAGTATCAAATGCTTCACACTGAAAGAATATATTATCGATCGCCTTTTACTGCAGTTGTGAATCAAGTTGATGGAAAGATACATTTATTAATCGATCATACAGTTATCGATGTTAACTGATAATATACTAGCATATTCTTCCGAATTTTTTGAAGAAACATAAATTGATAGAAAGATTTCGAATATTAGAAAATTCTATGACAGAAAGACGATCTGTAGATAAGGAATAAGTCTACAAAAAAATATTTCATTCATTCGAATTGAAAACCGACAAAACATTAGGACATAGTGTAAAGAACAATGGATCTATAATTTTCATTAGATACTATATGATAACAATGAATAGGTCATTCGTGTTTTTCAAAGGTAAAATTCGGTACAAAACGAATCAATCGATTTCTCAAGATATTTCTTGTTGTCTCTTTTGGCGATCAGTTCAATAAGTATTCTAAGATGAAAACTTTCAATAGTAGCAAATAATTGTCTATTAATCATTTCCATCGATATTCATGGTACTCAATATAGTATCAGTTAACTTTCACATGAGTCAAGTTCGACGTGACTTGTAAAATATTTTTTATGGTAGAAGATTAACAAAAGTCATCTAATTGTAATATCGTTATTGACATGATAATAGGTAGCTTCTGCTTATAACTATTATTCAATTTCTACAGCAGTAGATGAATTTATTGAAGATTAGGTGTTCTCTGAAAAACAAAATCAATCATTCGACTCGGTTCAAACGCTTGATATGAAATTGATGAATATTCGAGAGATCATGAGACCTTTGTCGGAGTATGAAATTTATAGCCAATATCTTAACGACAATAAGTCAATCTGAATAAATTCCACATTGAATAAGAAAAATCAACAAAATTGTTTATCTTCTGAGGAATATTCAATCATATTGAAATAGGTGAAATGAGCACGTTGATGCTATTCTAGCATTCGATTTGTTAATGTCTCGGTATTATAAAGGTAAATTAATGAAAGTGATTGAGTGTTGGTCAAGAAATATATTCTCTTTACTTTTTTTTTTATAGCGCAATAAGCCTTAAGTTGCCACATTTTGTTACAATACTATGTGTCTTTTATCTTTTCCATTCTATTTGAGGATTCATTAAAAATATTTTATTTCAACGCCTCAAGATTTAATTAGTTTTTACATAACTCAAGTACAAATTAAAGTACTCTTTCAAACCATGCCACCTAATTTAGTTTATGAAAATAAACATTTTTTGTATGTATACATAAGGGGAACCTAAAATCATGTTACACCCTGTATATACCTCTTGTTAAGGTAATAATAATCTATAAGAAAATTATAAATAAAGGATTGTTCTAAAAAAAAAGTATACTCTTTCGTCTATGATTTATGTCAAAGTTTGTTATTTATATACTTTATTCAATTTTTATTATAACAAACAATAAAGTATTTATTCACAATAGTAGAAATCAAACATTTATTTTATTTATAGACAATATTAGACATATTGTGACAATAATATATGAGATGACTTTCTCAAGAAAAACATGATTGTGAATAATAAAAAAAGTAAAGGATATATATTCGATTTATTATTAAGAAGAACGATTCATTCGATAATGACGCATTTTCACGAGAGTGCAACTAACCGTATCATACTTGTTTACAAAGAGAAGATTGAATCATTATTCAGTCGATTATATTCATTTGTTTAATAAAAAAATGGATTCAAACATTCAATGGTATTTCAATCCATACGATCAAGTACAACCATTAAGACAAAACGAAAATCCACAACAATATCAACCAGTTAGTATCATTTTATTATATTATATTATGTTTTTTCAAGCTTTAATTCTAGATACCTGTTGTTAGTCAACCACCTTCTAATCGTGTATGTGAGGATATTCCATATCCTATTGTACATAAACTTCTTTTGAATGATCTCTTTGATTTTGGATATGAAGGTGCACCAAATATAGATCGACTTGTGTATCATCTCAATAATGAAGGTTTTAATCAGATTATCCAAACTCAATATAAAACTTTC